ATTGGGATTAATAATTAAATATAAATATTAGCGAATCACATATAACATTAAACAATTATAAATTCTCCATAGAGAATACATTTTTTTTCACAACTCAGAATGAAATTTTAATCTATTAATTTCATATGTGATCGGCAAATATCTTTACAAATTGGACAAAAAACAATATTTGACATATACATTTACCAGCTATAACTTTTATAAGTTAAACAATGATCCATTTTATACAATCTGGCATACATATGAGTTGTTTTCCATATTAAGAGTTATATTCTGATTATAAACATTTCTTGAGACATTACACCATTTTAAAGTCTACAAAAGACATCTTTTTGTGTCATTTTTCTTCAAGCAATGCCATCCTCTCTTACATTCATTCTTAGCTTACGTTTCTTTAAGTCTACAAAGAAAAAAGAAAATAAATTAATAAAATTATAAAATATTTGAATAAAATACGACAAATACAAACCACTCAATAGCAGTCAGCCCCAAATGTTTTTCCAGATTTATTTGTTGTTACTTGCAATATTCGTCTATAGTCCGATTACATTTTTCTAAATAAATAAAAACAAATACAGACCTAAAAATAGATGACTCAAACATCTAGACCAAGATCTCCAATTTAACCGATGTGTCCCTGCATAATAGGAATTATTTTTCCATGGTTAAATGATTTGTTAATAAACGAGAATTTGAAATTGCATACAATTTTAAAACCTTGAATATATTAAGAGTCCCTTAAACACATTGGTCAAAATCCCCAAATTAGAAATTTATCCGAAGAACTCCTGCATGTTAGGGATATTTCATAGATTTTTTTAAATATTTTTTTTTTCAAGCTATATATAAAGCGTATATTTTTAAAATAATTTTTCAAGCCCTATAAAAGGTTCGTGGATCTTTTAAATATTTTTTTCTAGACCTATATAAGGCTTGGATTTTTAAATTCATTAATATTTCCATTCTTATAATTCAAGATTCGATTTTTTTTATATTCTATGACTATTCCGATCCTGTATTTGTTAAAATATGTTTAGAAACTAATTTCAGGCTTGGTGATGACTTGTGACTTTTCTAGCGCTGAATGTTCAGATCATCGTCAAGTAGCGTCCCATAAATCCTATAAGCAAAAGCCATTAAAAACAGCTGTTCTTGTAAGGATGTCTAGGTCAAGGTCCTTGCAAAAATAACCCTTTAAAAAGGTACATTTTCCATTATCATTTTCTCCATTTCTGTGAGGTGATTAAAGATCTTCTAGTCCATAAAAATAGTCGATGACAACGAGAACAGGGGCATTTGAAACAATAAGCCGAATAATGTGAAGCTATCCTCCAGAAAAGCCGTAAGGCCTTCCCAGTAAAACCTCAAGTCACTCGCAAAGGAAACTTCTAAACATCCTTTTAACAGGCATAAGATGTACCGGCTTCGAAAAGCCCAAGCGATTCTGAAAATCAATCCAAGATGTTCGTGGAGAACCTGCTGCTACCTTTTCGGTAAAACCGTATAAACCACTCGTAAAGGAAACCTTCAAAAATATAGTTACTAAATTCTTAATCTTGGAAAATAAACATCGATGAATTACAGACTCTTCTATGAAGTAGATTTGTGACATGTAATTTTACTAAATTCATAATGTCAATACCAATAGTACCACCACCTTTTGAACCGTTACAGTAGTATCTGATAAGCATATACATAGATCTATTTATGTCCATCCAATTTTATCCATTAATACATTACCTCTTCGCGGAAACAAATTACCATAAATATTGGTCGAGTCAAATGTTCAAATATATATCAGGCAGATCTCAAATTAATTTTCTTAGTTGGAAACATATTTAATAGTTGTTCCGCAGAATAAACAACAAACAAAAACCTCCCTCACTGCCAACATTTTTTTAACAATTTTTTGACAACATATAATCCCAAAGATTTGGAATTTTTGTCAATTACAATGTTTTCCTCCTGTGAAGAAGATTCCTTACAAAATTTAGAAAAAAATATATATTTTTTAATTTCTTTATAGTTTTCATTTATTTATTCATTTATTTTAGTATTTATAGTAAAGCCAATTCAATTAATATTTTTTTCTTTTCATGACAATATATAAATACAACATTAATTTTAAAAAATGTGTGTCATATTTTGTTTATTTTTTATAAAGCTTAGTTATTCGAAAAAAATATGTAATACAAAAATTCTTCTTTTGGAAAAGAAAACAATTTTTGAGTGAGGGAGGTGGTGTTTGTTGTTGTGGAGAGAGTTTCTTTATGCCTTATGTAGTTGTTGTGAAATTACGACCTACGGAAGTAAATGATATGACTGACCATTTACCACAAAAAATTGAAATAATTTTTTTTTCTTAAATTGGAAAAATTCGCTTTAGCTAATAGAATGAAAAAACCTTTGTTATATTTCTTACCCATTTTTTCTTCTTTTATTCATATATATAGAAGTTTCATGTGATATATGCATATTTTTTTTTTTTTTGTTTTCTCATTAAACAAAAAGTTGTAGAAAAAAAGAAGTCACAGAAAAAAATTGTTTTTTTTTGTTTGTTTATTTAAATCTTCAAATACTCGCACAAACTTATTTCAAAACCGAGCTAATTGTCTAAGGTTAATTAGGCGTGTTACTTTGCGCACACAACAACACGCCCATACATACAACCGCCAATAAACATTGTTCGTGTATTGGGTGTATCGTTCATCATCAAATTAACATTAGTCACATTAGCATCGTTGGAAAAAAAGCAACATCCATCATTCATTTTTTCATTTCAATTATTATTAAATATTTTGTTGTTGTTTTTGTTCTTGTTTGTTTGTTATATATATTTGATGTTTTTATATATATATTATATAATTGTTGTTGTTGTTCTTTGTTGAAACATGATTATAAGCAAAGAATTAAGAGATAGAGAGAAGAAAAGCCTATGGGGAAAATTGTACAAAAAGGAGTATGGCGAGAACGACTGAAGGAATATTGAGAAAGGTGGAGGAGAAGGAGTGGGGTGGTCTATTCTAGTGTGTATTTGGTTACATACCACACCAACACCGTTTATATTTGTTCTGACATCTCCCACAATATTTCCAAAGTTACACTAACCAACACCGTGCCGCCGCCCCGCTCTCCCTCCTGTGCCATATACTTTTGTAAAGTTTTTTTACAATTCCAAGAGACCCTTAATCCTGTACTTTTTTCCTGGCTTTTCGGGAGATAGAGAATTACAAATTTGCAATTGGAGGGGGGAGGTGGGGGGAAGTAAATGCCCCCACACCTCTCTCCTGCTTAAACTCCACACAAATTTGTATTTCACTTTTGCTAAGGGAATATTAAATTAAATCCTTTCTGCCCTCCCGCCCCCTTAAGCTTCTTTTACTTTTTTTCCTAATTCCATCATCTATTTCTAGCTTATAAACAGTCATGTTTGCTGTTGTTTTGGATTCTTTTGTCTGCCTTAAATTTGTGGTTGTTCTTGTTGTTTTAAGAGTTTTGCTTAAGAAAGTGTGAGTGATAAAGAAGAGCGTTTTTTTCTTTTCATTTTTTGTTGTTGTTGTTTAAGTTTTAAAGTTCCATTTGTTTTAAAGTTTAAAAATTAAATTGTTTTTCGGTTGTTAAGTATCTGAATTCAAAATATGTTTTAAGTGTGTGTGTGTGGTTTTTTATATTTATTTTCTTCTTTTTGTTTAACTAACTTACTATCAACAGGGACTGCAAGTGTGTGTGTAAATGTTGTTGTTGTGTGTACGTGAAAAATTTCTTAAGGGAAAACTAACTAAAACTTAATGCCATATATAAACACAGAGACATCCATCTCTATACGCCAAGCCACCATGGATGACACCACCAACACAACACCTACGCCGCTAGGCAGCCAACCTAGAATGGGAAAACTTTTGCCAACCCCTAGGGCCATCAGCCAGGGCATATTTGAAGTATTGATCAAGTTCAAGCATTTTTTTGTTCATTCTTAATACTCTTGGCATCCTTTTCTTTATTATTTCCCTTCTCCATTCCTTCCCAACAAGTTTTAGTTAATTCTTCTTCTTTTCGTTTTTTGTGGTTGTGATTTTTTTCTTGAAGAAATCTTTTTTTTAAGTGGCTGACTGCTTTGCTGGTATATTTAAATCTGTTTTTTTTTCTTTTTGTTGTTGTTGTTTTTTTACCTTAAAATTATCATTTGTTTTTATTTAAAAACTACAACTTCTTTTCTTTGTTAACCAATAATTGTATAGAAAAAGGTCTTTTTTGTTGTTGGTTTCATGTTTTTTTTTTCTTTTTTTTCAAGGGTATAGAGAAACAGGGGATGAGGCGGCACAGCAAGTATAGCGGGCCGTTTTGGAAAAAAGGCAATAAAATTAATAGTAATTATAAGTAGTAATTAATTAATTAATAGTTAATCATATTTATAATAATTTGTAATAATAAAAAAGTTTATATTTTCAATAGCTATTCTTCTTCTTATTTTCTGTTGTTGTTTGTTAAGTTCCCTTCTTCATCATTATGCTGCCTTTCTACTATATTTGTTATTTCCCAAATCCTGTATCTAAAAAAACAAAAACTTGAATGGGTTTTTGTTGTTGTTGTTGTTTGTCCTTCTGCTGTTACTGTTTTGGAATTTTTTTTTTACTTCTCTGTTTTCAAAATGAGCCTTAAATATTCTGCTGTAGAGTACTGTTTGTGTTGTTGTTGTTGGTTGTAATATATTTTCGCTTCGTATTTTCTTGGTTTTGCATAAATTGTTTTCTTCTCTGTTTGTATGTTTGTTGTTGTTGTTTTGGTTTAATAATATTAAAGTTTGATTTTGTTTTTTTTTTGTTTTGTTTTATTATATTATAATATATTTCTGTTTTTTAATTATATTTATATTTAAATGTTGTTGTTGTTGTTTCTCCTTAAATTTTTTGTTTTCATTCAGAAATTTTCAAGTTGATTTTCATCATTTTTTTGTTTATTTTTTTTTAAATATTTTTTATTATTATTTTAAGTTGTTGTTGTTGAGGGGTGTTATAGTAAAATTTAATTTAATTTATTTTTTTAAGATTTGTTTTATAGTTGTTGTTTATATATATATTTTCATTTTGTTGTTGTTGTTTTATATCCATAGCAATAGCGATGGCGCGGTGTTGGGGCGCACAGCAGCTACAGTCTTCGTCAACATCTTAAAAACATAGAAAAGCTTAAAAAGAAGTAATTTAGCTGCTCACTTCGATGTCATCATAGTCACGAATTCTGCAAAAATAAAGAAGAAGAAACATTAGAATTTGAAATCCACAAAAATAATGCAAACAAATGATCAATAATTTAAAATAAATAAAACATCAATCCTTTTGTTTTCCTAACACCAACCAACCAAGCTCATCCTCCTCTCCTCTACCTCTTTCCCCAATTTTCTTTTCTATGTCAATAAAATGTGATTTTATTGAATCAACAGCAGCACCACAAAAATCACGAGACAATTAGATCAATACAAAGATTGGAGATGAGTATGAGAGAGGGGGCGGTGGTGGATAGTTCTTAAAACTGTGTCGTAGTTGTAAAAATAATTTTTTTTTTGCACGAAAACCCACAAATCAAAGAATATGCCGGCACAGTCAACAACAACTACAACACATTTTATTGTTCATTGTTTTCAAAAATAGATTTTTGATTCAATCACAATCATGTAAAACAAATAATCAGGGAGGGGGATATCTCAACAATAGGAAGAAGATAAAAGGAATTGAATAAAATTCGAGCGGAACCAAAACAAGATCAACAGTAACATAGGTCAGAAGAACTATTTGTCACATTAACTACTAATTTGAAATAAGTTTCCTTCTCTCTTTCTCGATTATTTCGAATCATTAGGAGGAGATGAAATAATTTGAAAACTTTCTTCTAATCGTAAAAGGATCATAAATTAGGAATTAGAAAGTTGTTAGGAAATCCACTTTGAGGGAAACCTAAAAGCAAATGGAAAATATTTTAAAAAAATATGTTCCATAGGGAGAACTAGGGAACTATACAAGCAGGAAGTTTGTAGTGCTAAAAAGTATTTAATATCTTTCTGATGAAATTATACTTCTACAGTCGAATTCACATATAACAACAGCCAAGGGATCGGCGAAATTGGTCGCCTTCAAAAATATTATATAAAGATCAGATCTTTTTCTGGAAATTTTGGATATCGTCATTATAACAGATATGTCTTTCATTATTGTCTCGTCATGAACGGTTTTGTCATTATTTCCCCCTTCTTCTAATTCAATCACCTCCCTGTTTTGGGATGCACACACAAAATTATGCCCAAATCGATTTGTAATAAACTCGAATGAATGAATTTGCATTTGGTAGATATTATATTTTGTGGGCAAACCTCTCTGCCTGCCTGGCCAGCCAACCGATCAACCTCCTGCATTCATGTCTGTCTACTAGTACACTACAACGCTCTGACCAATTGTCAATTATTAAATTTAAACAGTTTATAAAAAATTAGCTGTGAGAAAAATACGCTATCATCATTTAAACTATGATATTTCCCCATTCAATCAACCCTCCCTCCTCTCGTCACCACTTTTGCAAAAACATATGAGCGACCAAAGCTGCCGAACAACAAAGACAAGAAAAAGATGGGTGAGGGCAGGCAGGCAATGATTCTGGCCTCACGCCAATAGTTGGCGGAATCAAATTATACAAATATCTATTAGGTAGGTAGAATTTTGGTGGGCAGTAGTAGTAGAGCAATCAAGTCAGTCAGCCAGCCAGTCACAATATCAATGGTAGTATGTTGGGCCGAAGTCATTATAATTTACACACAATACCACACACACATAAAATATGTTTATAAATATAACCAAATCATGAACTAGAAGTAAAATATTAGGAAAAACAAAAATTGTTGTGAACAAAATGTAAACAAAAGTGGTCAAAAGAAGATTGCATTTCTTTCCCGCCTTCCTTCAAATGAAAAAAAAAAAAAACAAATATTATTGAAATAAAAAAATACACAGAAACCCCCTTAATAATCATATGCCTGGTATATGATAATACAAGAGACGGAACAAGAGGCATTGGATTTATTTGGAAAAGCCGGTTGAATATTGAAGCAAGCTGTGTTTCTTTCCAATTTCGGTGACCACGTCCGTACAACTTTTGTACCGAAATCGGAACGAATTCAGCATTAGAATCGGCAATTTTTTTCAGAGATTCGGATAGAATTCGGAAAAATGTTTGCTGGGAAGGTAGATAAAAAGGAATACAACTTTTTCCACATTCAAACTTGTTGCTTCTTGGCTTAGTTACTTGGCGACACATATTCGTATTTATATCATACATTATGGACTTTCTATCATAAGATATTAAAATTATTGTTATCTTAAAAAAAGTTAAATTAAGTTAATTAAAAAAATCGGATTTAAAAAATTGTACTGACGTCACATCAAAAGAACCCATATTTTTTTATCTAAAAAAAGAAAATTAAATACCCATCGCCATTTATGATTACTTTTAAAGCTATTTTCGTTGTTGTTTTTGTTTGTTCTACTTTCTTTTATCTCATTTGGAAGAAGAAGAAACAAATTTGTGAAGTCAAATTAAAAAAAAAAACAACATATTTGCTTTATAAAAGGTGTTTGCATTTTAATGTGTTCTTTTTTATCTAAATGTGGTGGTGATTTCACACCTTTCGACACACACACACGGAGTACAGAGTACACAGCAGTACGTACACACCACACACAAAATTAAATAAACAAACCGACCGACCGACCGCTCAAAACCTTGATCCAAAGGAATTTCTTTTGTTATTCTAAAATATATATTTATTTTTTGCGTTTATTTCGTTCGTATACCCAAATAAAAAAAAATAATGTAAATATAGAACGAAATATGGAATAAAATTAAAAAAGAAGTAATTAAAAGTGGTGACAAAGATTGTGAAAATAAATGAATACCAGGGGGTTTAATTTCTGGGCCCTTTTAATTTGTTTTCTATTCCAATTATTTTTAGTGGCCTTCTGAGTTGTTTGTATTTTGAATTACAAACATATTTCTTTTTTTGTTTGTAAATATTATTTCTTTTCATTTGTAATAATAAGAAGCTACTACTATCATCATTATCCCATCATATTGTTCTGTGTCTCCTTCATTCCTCATCCCAAAACATTGTGTGCTTCCCTTATAATCGCATGAAATAATTGCAATTAAATGCAATATTTGCATAAATAATGAACTAAATAAAAACAAATGATTAATAATTTAATATTGTTTTCAAGAGTAGCAAAACCGGATGAGGAAAAGGAGATGGTGGTGTACACCACACCACCTCTTCTATACTCACAATTTATGAGATGATCAAGTGAATGACAGTCATTATATTCTCTAGCAAATGAATATTTATGCTCTTTCATTTTTTTGTCTGATTCTCTGATAACTTGTGTGTGTGTGGCGGCGGTGGGGCACTATGGTACCGCCGCGCTACTAGTCACTCACTCATGCCGCCACCGCCACCACACCACCATGAATGTGGTGTTGTGCCCCCAATTTTAGCAGGTGTTTGCATTCAATGCTTAAAAATAGCTCATGTGCGGTGTTTTATTTTTTTCTTCTATCTGCTAATTCCTCGTCTCTTAGCCGTCCGTCCGTCTGTCGCTATGTGAATAAAGCGCTATGTGTTTGGATATCTGTTGGTATGATTGTTTGTTTTTGTTGGTGTTGTTGTTGTTGGTAGTAAAACAAAAACAAATATCAAGACATTTTTAACATACCCCAAGAATGAGGAAAATTAGCTAAAATATAAAAAAAGTAGTGGACCAACCAACAGAAGAAAATCCAATTCAATATTTAAATGTGTTCACATGTTTTTGCGTGACCAAAGAACATGAGAGCACACACAAATAATATTAGGTGTACAAGGAAAGGCAATGATAGTAATTGTAATTGAAATTTTGTGTAAAATAGAAAAAAAAAGAAACAAATTTAAAAAGGGGACAACAACGAAATATTTTTTTTTATCAAAATATTTCACATAAATCTGGGCATAGGACTGTGTTTTATTTAATGAACGATTTTCCAGTCCATGAAGATATAAAGAACATCTAGAGAGGAAAACAGTCAAATGGTCCACAGGACTGAGTTTTTCTGAAACTTTTTTCTGAGTCCTGACATTTTGTTGTCAAAAACCTCAATCTTTTTATTTCCGAATTTAATAACAGTTGGACCTTAGATGTCAATAATGACTGCATTTATGCCACAATTTGGCATGACCAAAACCATTGTAAATGTTATAGATGTTATAAAATTTCCCATAACAAGGCGGGGAAAAAATATGTAAATTGTCATAGAATTAAAACAAAAGTAATTTCACGCCAAAAATTATCGTATTAGAAATACAGCACCGCGAAGTAAATTCTACACAAAATAATATTACAGCAAAATAAAAAAGTGATCTAATCAATATGACTAATCACAAGTATTTCAATGTAAAGCTGGCTGGCAGGCAAACAAAATGCAGTGCACACACACACAGTGTTTCAAAACCACATTTAAATGACTAATATCACTTGTGATTAGTATTAGCAACACGTAAAAAAATATTATTCTCTCTTTATGGTGGTGTTTGTTGTGGTATTGTTGTTTTTGCTATTTGGCACATGACAATTAACACCCCCACTTGAAATGAAAACAAAATTAAAAATTTATTTTAATACAGTGAACTAATTTGTTTACACCTACCTTCGTAATTGACTTGACCATCACCATCGATATCAGCTTCTCGAATCATCTCATCGACTTCTTCGTCTGTTAACTTTTCACCCAAATTTGTCATGACATGACGCAATTCAGCCGCTGAAATGAAGCCGTTACCGTCTTTATCGAATACTCTGAAGGCTTCTCGGATTTCTTCTTCACTATCGGTGTCCTTCATTTTACGGGCCATCATTGTCAAGAATTCAGGGAAATCAATTGTGCCGTTGCCTGGAAAAAACAAATACAAATAATTAGAAAAAAATCAATTAGAAAAACTCATACATAAACAAATTAGAGTCATGTTTACTTTTTTTTCGCGGAGGAGGTTCACAAACAAATCAATTAAATTTTTGAAAAAAAAATCCGTTTTTATTCAAATTGTTGTTATTTAATTTCAAAAAAAAACTTTCCTTCCTTCCGTAAAATTTATGATTATGAAATGGACAATATTCTGGGTGTGTTCATGGACGATTTTTGGGGGCAGAGTATTGCAAATTTTGAACGATACACATTTCCATTTCACTTCCTCTTTTTGGTTGTTTTTTGCAAATATAAGGAGCAGCATATTTGTTGTTGGAATATAACAACAAATCCCATCATCGAGCCAAACCTTTGTTTTACATATCAACTTCCGCCGTTGCTGATTCCATCAATTTGCAATTTTGCAAATCTAATTTACATGACATCCCATGAAGATAAGACAAATTGTGCCGTACCCACCAGCAGTTCTTATGGAAATTGATGGAAAATTAAACAAAAAAAAAAAAAAATATTCTGATGCGCTCCAGAACAAATGGTAATTGGTGTTTCGAATTTGATTTACCTGAATTCACTGTTTTTTAAGAAAATCAAAAAAAATCTAAATTCTCTGAGGGATTTTTCCAAGAAGGGATAGCCCCTTCCCTTAGATGGAATTTTTTCTCTAAAAAAACCGGAAATGCAATGGAAAAATCTGTGTTCAGTCACAGATACAAATTTTTCTCTAGGAAAAAAATCGAAGGGAGAAATCTGACTTCAGTAACTGAGACAAAAGTAATTCTTAGGGGCTAAGGTTTCTTTTCGATAAATAATCAACGTTTAGGGCCTTAGAACAGAGGTTGGGCAATTTTGTAACCCAGTGACTGCTAATTTATGTCTAAAAACTATTATTGGACAGACGTTATTTTTCTATTACAAAATCAATCGTCATATATGAACACTGGAATTTTTAGAGGCGGATCTAAATATTCCTTTGTTAGAGATTTTTTCTACGGTAAAACTTTTGTCCTCAGAGGACAGATTGATTTTTTTTGAAATCAGTCAGTTGATTTGGGGATTTCCGTAGATTTTTTAGACAGTACTCGTAGTGGTAGTGATATTTATAAATAAAAATTGTCATCAGGATCCATCATAAATAATGGATTTTGCATTGTTTCTCTAGTAAAAGAATAAAAATTGTATAGAAATCTGTCCTATAGTAAATAAAAATACTCTAATTCGATTATATATATAGAAAAATAAAATGTGGATTTGAGATAATTAATTTGAAATTAAGCAGACAGGCATACCGGCAGAACTGATAAAAGCATAACATAATTTTCAACATTTTATTTGATATTTGACAGCTCACACGCACACACAGACAGTGAATTCTTTTCTGCAAAAAATTCACGAGTTTCCTTCTATTTCTCTTCTATAGAGATTAGGCATAATTTATCATGTTCTTTAGAATTAGTTTAATTTATTTAGGCAACTCTTTGCCCCAACCCCATGCTTCCACATGATTTTGCAAAAAAAAAAAAAAAAATTAAATTAACATGTTTTCGTTGTTGTTATTATTAATACAACAACAAAAAATCAGAAAGTAACAATGAGAAATGGGTGGGCGTAGGAAAGAGCAAGGGTGTGGGGGAACGCCATGCCGAAAACAGAAGAAATGTTTTTTAAATATGTATCATTGGTTTTAATGGGGGGTCTGTGGGTCGTCTTAATGTGGCGGAATCGGTTTTTTGCCGGCGTTTCATTTGGGAGGCTTGTGGTGGGTGGCAACGTGCAGAAAAATAGTAATGATGGAAATTAATCGTCTATTAAGTTTGTTGTTAAGATACGCTCTTTTGTGCCAAAATATCTACCCCGAGCTACAACAACAACAAAATAATACATGCTGGGTTTTGATAATGATATTTGCTTTATACAATTTTTTGTCTATCTGTGTCTGCATGGCTGAGTGACTTGCTTCTTCTTCGGGATAGCCAGTCATTGTTTTGTGTGGGAGGAGAAGGCTGTGATTTTTTTTCTAGAATTGTTGATACTTTTTTTATTTATAGTAATATTATTATCCCTCTTTTTTTATAAGAAATAATTGTGAAAAAAATAAGAAAAAAAGCGTTAGAAAAATATCCTTGAAGGAAAATTTGTGTTTCTAATGAGACATTTTAATTTTAGAATGATTAACTCGAACAAACCTTGGGATTTTGGTGTACCATTTACCCCAAATCGGACGAAAATATATATTGAAGCCATATGTAAATCTGAACCGATTACCATAAAACATAAAACTTAACACACTTCATTCTAGGCTTAATTTAGAACGCTGTGCAAAATTTCGTGTCAATCGAACAAACGTTGGGTATTTGAGCCACTGATTTAGATGAAATCGTTCGAAAATATATATGGGAGGTATATCTAAATCTGAGCCGATTTGAAAAAAGCCTTAATACACATCACTCTGGACTCAATTCAGAACGCTCTGCAAATTTTCATCTCAATCGAACAAACTTTGGGTATTTGTTCCACCCATATTTAGATGAAATCGTTCGAAAATATAGATGGGACCTCAGAAGGTGTCTTTATATTTATTCTCAGAAGTAACTATGGGTCTACATGGTTTCCTTTTGCATGTTACAAACAAATGCACAGAGACATAATACCCTGCTGTACCAAAGAGTGGTGGTGGTGAAGGGTAAAAATATTATTTTAAGACAATTTTAAAATTATCTCTATATCAAATGGTATTTCCTATTGGTTTAACACAAACGACCTACACGTATAACCTCTGCCACCCACCTCATCATTATTGATCCTCACTCACCATAATTGACCCACACACCAGCTACACCTCCACAAAAACCCCATCCATGTTTTTTTTTTTTATTTCCAATCTGTTTTGTTTTTATTTTTCATTTCAATTTTTTTCCTGTTTTTTTGTTCTTCATTAATGAATATTTAACGTATTATATTTTTTTATTTGCAAATATTTATAAAGACATATTTATACATATAAAGAGAGTGAGGGAATTTACTATTACTGGTAGTACCAACAACAACAACAACAACAACAACAACAATATGTGTTCATAATAAAAATAAAAACACAAAATTTATAACCAAAATGAAAGTGTTGACAGTGGCAACGGCACATTGGTTTTGCCAATTGTCTTTGGGGCTTGACTGACTGCTGCTCTTGAACAATATTTTTATTCGAATATTGAATACAATCAGAAGTGAAAGTATTGAAGGGAAGAGTAGTCGTCAAACACAGACTGACGACAGACATTCTCGAAAAATGAAAACAAAATAATTTGGTATGATTTTTTTTAGTATTCAGCAGACATAAAATATGGTTGGCGGGCAATGCAAAATCGACTGGAAAGCCATAACGCTTAAGGTGAGGGAAAGGGGTTGAAAGAGCAACAAAATACAAACCTACATGTCTTGTGTGTAGGTATGCCTGTACGGCCAAAAAATATAACACAACCAGCCATGCCATCATATCCCATACTTTTTAAATTTTAATGACTTTTTTGTTGAGTAAAATATTTGAAATATTTATTTCCCCTCCCTCAATTCACCTCCTTACCCTACTCATCACAATGTTTGAATTCTGTAGTGTGTTTGCGAGAGTGGTATTCTGTTGTTGGCGGGTTTTCTGCTGCCATTGTTATTTGTCTATTAAGTGTTAAATATCAATTAGTTGGAATTTCCCCCGATATTAAAAAAGAGAAGACGAAAAGTGAAAACACATGATGCACATCAGGCGATCCATATAGCAAGCCAGTCAGTCAGACACATTTTCATTGACTTTGTTTCAATTTTTATGGCAAATTTATTTGTGTCTTTTTGTGTCCTTCAACCTCTATTTGGGACTTTTATTGGTGGCCAACTACACTTTGAAGCTGTAAATATAGAGGAAAAGACTATTCAAAAACTTTTTTGCAATTTTTATAAAAAAGGATATTAAATTAATGAAAACCCTGTCAACACATAACCTATAGATTCTAATGTATGTAACTAGGACCGGTCCCATATTGGAGCTTGGCTTGCAATACGATTATAATTCAAAATGCTGGATTTTAGAAAAATCGAATGCCTTAACTTACATCTGAAATTTACAAATTCTGTGTGGTGGCCATAGTAACTATCATGGAGGAATTAACCACCACACACTATGCTCCCACCACATGTACTGAATGATTAATGACTCTTTATTGTTCCGCCGCACGGCCTACATTTCAAAAAGTACATAAATGACGTTTGTACACGCTTTTACTTCCATTTAACAAAAATAAAAAAAAATGTTTTTAAAATATATGTTTTTCCTCATAAAAAATAATACAAAGAGAGCGTACAATACGAATACCTGGCGGTAGCGGTGAGTGGGTAATTAAATGGACGTTGACCCCAATGATGATGGCGTTTCGTACTACATACATTAAAAATAGAACAATTATAATACGGAATATACAACATACATAGAGAGTATGTTAAATATAAAAAATAGTATATTATATTCTTGGAAAACTTAGGTGGGAAAATATACAAATTGAATAATAAATTAAATAATAAAAATAGGGGCAGGATGTTACTACCCACCACCAACATTAATGGGAGTTAAGCGATTTAATCCGTCTGAAAAGGAATTCACACAAACATTCATAGAGTAAGTGAATATCAAAATATATCTCCTAACACAATATACGTAACACCAAAACATATTTTAGAATAAAAATTACGAATAAGAAGAACTGCATATTTTTGAGGAGTATGTCAGAAGGTTAGCCACATAACATACATACATATTAAATTACATTAATTTGGAAATGTTTGGAATAAATAGTTCAGAAAGAAAGAATAAGAAGCTAACAAGAAGTTCCGAAAAACATGACAAATGGGTGGTTTGATTGAGCAATCGATTGCTAGATCTGTAGATTGAGATCTTCGTCTAGCTAATTCGTCTGCTTTTTCATTACCCACATGATGTCAGAGTGTCCTGGTACCCAACACAGCCGATATAGCTGTGAGTGTTTCCAAAACTGATCTACACTCGAGAACGACCTCAGATTTGATATTACAGTATTTGATTGCTTTAAGAACAGCCTGACTATCCACAAAGATAGTCACCGGCTCATCCGGTTCTCTGCATCAAGACTTTTTATCAATTCCGCTGCCTTCCAAATAGCGAAGATTTCAGCTTGGAAAACACTAAAGTTGCTATACAGCTTGAGGTATTCGCTGAGCCAGTTCCTAACAATTTTACCTCCACTTTCCATGGAAATTCCAATTTTTAGGTTATATCTCTTCAGAGATTAAAAATCTACACATTTTCGAAAAAATGTATTTGCCATAAATCTTAGTAAAGTTGAAAATATATAATCCAATGGCCAAAAAATATATGTTTAATAACACATATTTACTGCCAACAATTAAAAAAAGAGATAAGAAGAAAAACATATCAAATAAAAAAACACCTGCAGAAATAACGATAAGGATAGGCGGCTGGCTGGCAGCAGTTGATAATTTTTATGATAATTTTTATTTACAATAAATACCAATGAGAATTTAAATTGCATAGATTAAAGTATATACAAAAACATATTGGTATTTATTTATTTATTAAAATGTAAATTAGGGCTTATCAAACTGGAGTTTTTTTAGGAAAATGAGGACAAAGTTCAATTTTTCTAATACAAAGTTTGGAAAATAAAAAAATTGCAAACTGAAGTTTCCATCGCCATGAAATTCTTTTTCTTCCACAGAAAATACAATTTAAAATTCATCCATTAAACCCTTTTTTGAAAAGTACACACAAAAATTTCACAACTCCTTGTGGGAGAGCAAAAAGAGTTAGCCGTGGGGATATTATGAAATCTTGGTCATGTCCTGCGCATGTTTGCTAACACAGTTCTGTTTCGGGTTTTCAGAGATTTATGCAGAGACCAACAACAACAATTATGACGACTCCCTTTTTTAAATTTGCCTTGTCAAATCTACTGATGATAACTGTCGGAGAAGAAAAGCTGCAAAATCATGCTTTGCTCAGCAAAAATCCAGGGTAAACATCTTGATATTTTTTTGGACAATATGTAGGTATACTAGCAGTTTCCAACAAACATTTTGTGTGTGTATTATAACAAAATGAAAGAAAAAAACCCAGGGAGCTATTATTCTCCTAAGGAAACAGTGGTCACATTATAATCAAAAAAATAAAAGACAGAGGAAGAAAAATATATCCTACACCCACATGAAAAAAAGACATACAACTACAAAGTTTAGAGTAGAGGAAAATTTGGAAAAGAATACACCATTTTTTTTTTTTCGACAAAACTCCATACACCCACCACTCCACTGCTTTTCATTCTAATTTGGTGGTGTCTATCTCATTTCATGTTCTCCATATCAAAGAACAAATATTTAATGAAAATTCCCATAGGCGACAGGCGGCACAATGGGAACTGTTCTAATGTATGTCTGTCTGGTCTGCCTGCCTGGTGCTGATGATGACACATGTGGTGCTTTTTTTATGGTGAATGCCCACAAAAGTGTGGAAAGAACTGGCGGACGGACTGACGGGGGTGGTTCCGTTTCATTTTTTTTCTTTTTCTCAGAGGATTTTAACCTTTCCAAAAATAAAGCCGTCACGCATAGCTACCAAAATATAGCATTTTAATGGCGAGACTATTTGCTTGGTTTGGCTATTTGTGTGTTGCCAAAAAATATGCAGCAGTGGAAAATTATACACTAGCAGTGTTTCACCACCCCCTACCTCCCCCCTTGCTGCATCATAAAATTGACACTTTTTTGTGGGGTGTGCTTAAAAAAATGTAATATTTGCAAAAATTAGAAAAAACACACAATTTTTAAAATAAAAATGGTGTTTTTATTTTCACTATTTTTAGTTGTCGAGTTTTATGAATAAAAATTCTATAAAAAGATGCTTAGTGGTGGCGAACCAATGGAAAACAATTCTTAAATCGTGTGGATGCAAAAAAATAGCAGAAGTGGAGGATACTTTCAAACAGAAATTTTATTTTTGAAAACCGGCAAGAGGAAATGCCCAAATTAAAAAAATGCTACTTGAAGTATTTATAGGCGAGCTGAAGGGCGTCTCTATAGACGAGCTGAAGGGCGTCTCTATAGACGAGCTGAAGGGCGTCTCTATAGACGAGCTGAAGGGCGTCTCTATAGACGAGCTGAAGGGCGTCTCTATAGACGAGCTGAAGGGCGTCTCTATAGACGAGCTGAAGGGCGTCTCTATAGACGAGCTTTTTTTAAGAATTGAAGCCAAACCGGGAACTTTCAATCCCTACATTCAAGCCCTTCTTGACATATGGTGATAAAATATTCAAAATACGTCAGAAACCAGTCATATAAATTATATGGGGGTTTTATCAAAACTTAAATTTAATAAAACTTGGAGGACTAAAAAACATTTGTATAAAATGTGGGTCATCCTTTTGCACCGTTCTTTAGAAGGGATTTATATAAGATCCCAAGTTCCATATTAAAATACCCTGTTTCCCATGGATTACATAGGAGGTCCTAAGGATCAAATTCTCTTCTTTTGATTTGTTTGTGAACCATTAAAGAGAAAATGAATCGATATTCTCCAAAAACAACTTACCATCAGCATCGACTTCATTGATCATGTCCTGTAATTCAGCTTCTGTGGGATTTTGACCAAGTGATCGCATGACTGTGCCCAATTCCTTTGTTGTGATGGTGCCATCACCATCTTTATCGAATAGTGAGAATGCTTCTTTGAATTCAGCGATTTGTTCTTCTGTTAGTTGATCGGCCTAAAAAATAAAAAAAGAAAATAAAAACACGATTAGTAACAAAGACACACACAATTAGCAGTTAAACAGACAAACTAATCAAAAAACACAAGGCAAGATTTACCATTTTAGTTCACACCCTTATTCAATTACGGAGTGGAGCCCACAAAAATCTAATAAGCGAACAAAAAATGTGGCCACAAAAATGTCAACCACAAATGTTACAAAAAAAATATGGACAATGAAAGCTGATATGTGTTTTTATGGCTGGCTTTGTTTGGAGGTTGTAAGGTCCAGTGGTGCCCGGGTTTTTGGGTTATTGTGGAATTTGCGTATGTTATTTTATCTTTTAAAATTGTTTTTTTTTTTTTTGCTATTTTTATGTCAAAATTCGAATTTGAATTGTAAAGCATATGCTAAATGATTTGTTTGTTTCTCAACTTAAAATGGTAGGGAGGTGGTCGTACAAAGTAACTTTGGACAACCTTCTCCTACTCTGCCCTGTAAAATATACAATTACGAGCGGAATGGAAATTCATGGCGCAAATAAATGCGCAATCGAATGCCAGTCGTCGTCAGTCATCTATATCTTCTTCTAGGTGTTAATTTCAAAATAACATCACACATTTTTTCCAACCGCTTTCGTTGCTGCTGCTGTTGTTGTTGTTGCTGTGTTTGTACTTTATTCTAAACGTTTAAGGTAATATCTGGGTGGCTGGCTGTGTTGACGTCAGTAGTAGTAAGTCAGGCAGTCATTCATTCAGTTAGGCAGGCAGTCAAGTCTGTCACAACATTCAAACCAGTAGATTGGAGAATAGATGGAATGGCGATGATGATGATATTTACATATAAATGGCATGTGTGAAATATACATTCAACAAAATTGTTTGCTTAGGGCAACAACAGCAAAACTAAAAAAAGTGGGAGAACAAATAAAAATGTGTGAAAACCCATATATGTGGAACCGTCGTCATTTAGAAACACATACATACAACACACACACATAAATGGAGCAACAATAGCGCTAACTAACGATCGTACAGAGAAATGACTTCATATATAGCAAGTAAATATTTCAAGAATGGAGCTTCGATGGGGCGGTTAATTTTGTTTTTATTTGAACAACTGTATAACCAACACAAAACTATTCCCCAAATGACATTTTGAATTTCCCTTTTTGTAAAACAAAAACGAAGAGAGAGTGAGAGATGATCAATCCTCAAAAAAATTCCATGGAATTGAAATTGTCTTTTCCGATTAATTTTTAGCCGCCTTTTCTGACTAAATAGTTATCGAGCACCATCAATCATAGCTTACCTACAAACACAAATGATTATGTTTATGTAGACCACACACCAATCTTCGATTTTGGTAGGTGTTAATTGTTTATTTTATTATCCCCCACTAACCTGAAGAGACAAACTCATTGTTAATGGGGTTTTTAGGTAAGGTTTTTTTTTTGTACTTTTTTGGATTTGTTAATTATGATGGACTAGGGGAGAACCACCCACCATTCATTATTATGGCTCAGTTAAGTGTCAAACATACTACACATGGAGATAACAACTAAATAAATAATAATAATAAATTAAATAAATAACAAAAAAAAACTAAGTCGGATGATAGCTTCATAGATGAAGGGCAGAAAATTTTTATGGATCACCGTAGGTCCGCTCAAATGGGTTATTTTAGGCCGTCTAAAGAGATCTTTACAGATCACGTTTATATAGAGGAGCAAAATGCAGCCTTTAGAAACGAAAAGAGTCTCTATAGATGAGCTGAAGGCAGTCTCTATAGATTCTGAATGCAGTCATTAATGACGAGCTGAACGGATTTTTTTAGGCTAGGTGAATGGATTCTTTGTAGACGTGCTTAAAGCACTTATTGACAAGCTGAAAATAATGTAGACGAGCTGATGGGAGTCTCTATGGAAGAGCTGAAGGGTGTATTTATGGAGTTGAAAGGAGTTTTTGTAGGCGAGCTGAAGGGAGTCTTTTATAGGCGAGATGAAGGGAGTCTTTTATAGGCGAGTTGTAGAGTCTATTTTTATACGAGTTGAAGGGAGTTGAACAGTTAGTCTTTCAAGACTCCCATCCTGTGATCTATAAATACTTCCTAGAGTTTTTCTACAACTCTACAGCTTAAATTTAAGACGAGCTGAAGGCAGTCTTTTTATAGACGAGCTGAAGACATTTGGTATGGATATTGATAGACGAGCTGAAGAGAGTTTTTTTCAACAACTGATGTCTAAGAGCTCAGAGCAGGGACATGAATTCTAGATACCTCTGCTCAATTTATGGTAAATTTTTCTAAAATAAACTAGGAAATACCTTTTTTGGGGTCATAAAAGTGGCATGCTACAGATTTTGGTAGTATTTAAAGCTTGGCAGATTCGGTATTTGGGAAAGATGAGATCGTAATGGTTTCTCGGATAGTTCTAAGTATGTTTAGAATATTCGGTCTCAAACGTTTTTATAGTTTTTAAAACGAATAATTGCTGAAAATCTGTTTGATGCGCGTCATACATCGAATTCTGACATTTATAGGGTGGACATCGATTTTTGGACACTTTTTAAAAAGGAGTGGACCTATTTTTCTTGTTGAATTGGTTTTTGACATCGGAGAAATTCATGTCTTATGACTACAACCTAATTAGTCCCTATTCCATAGTCGCTATCTCGGTTCCTTTCTCTTTGCCACACCAAGGTCATTGCGAACAAAAAATTCCAGTAACCACAACTGATTCATTAAAATTTTCTAGAATTATTTCAAAACAATTAAATTTGAAATGTAGCTTAACCACCAACCACTCCAATTGTTTGTAGCGTGAAACAAAAAATGAATCAGATGATAAAAAAAGTAGCCAACAAATCTGTAAAGGTAGTGGTGGTTGGTGGTGATGGTTGGAAATTTAAGTTGAAAACTAATTTCATGCTTTTATTATTTAGATTGTGTTTCACATGAAACCCAATGAGCATCATCATCAGCATCTGTATCGCTGCTCTGTCATCTAAGCATAGCCGAAAACATGCCAAAAACAGGCAAATAAACACAAAGCAATGTGAAAAGAAAGGAAAACCAACAAAAAGTTAAAATAAATAAATGAAAACAAAAACAAATCTCAACAAAAAAAAATAAAACAAATACTCGGTGGTATCAGTCATTCAATCTTTCAATAATCACAGAGGCCATGCCAGTCAGCCAAGCGGCCAGCGATACAACACACACCACATATTATACTCCCCAATCTTGGCTATGCCACTGTCTGCTTGCAGCAGCAGTCACAGCAGCATTTGAACAACATTTTTGTTTTATAGAAAACCACACAAAAAACACCAACAACAACAGAGAATCATCATGATTCATAAAAATAATGTTAATGAGCAAACAACAATGGTTGCCCTTTCTGCCCCAAATGGCCGGCCCGGCCCCCTCTATCTTTGAAAATAAAATATGCGACCAACGAACAAAAAAAAAAACAATAATAGATCATTTGTTTCAGATGATAACGCAGCAGCAGTAGCCACCCAACGACCAGGCCAGGTCGATCTACCATTGGGGGGATAATACAATCGGCTGATGTGTTGCTGTTGTTGTTTGCCACCAACCAAACCCAAATAGAAAAAGTGTTTAAAAGTCAAGTTGATTCATTAACTTAGAATGAATACGGCGATGGCGGCAACTATTGGGCTATCGAAAAGGGTATCGGGGAAGAGAATGTGATGGCGGGGGGGGTGTAAGTTCGAAAAATCATATGCATTTTTATTATTTGTTGTGGTTGTTTTTTTTTTAATTTAAAAACAATATTACGAGAGAGTGATCAACATTCACCAACAAAAAAAGGAAAATGCATCATAGAACTTGCTTGAGTGTAATGAGATTTGTGTTTGATTTTTTTCTCTAGTTAATATCAATATCCAATTCTGAAAAGCTGGAAATAATCTGGAAATGTTAAACTCGAAATATATTAGGTTTCGGTAATAGAAAAAAAAATAAATATAAACCCAAATAGCTTCATAAAATGATTTAGCCTTTGTTATAATTAAAAGTCCACATAAAAACTTAAAGGACCCCTTTTCAAGATCCTTCCCACTTAAGAAGAAAATAATTTCCAGAACCCCTTTTACCAGCCTGGATATTTTCTTTTTTAATGACTATGCGAAAACATAGATTTCAATACTGCAGATTCCATAAAGAAATCCATAAGAGTTTAAGATCATGAACATTTTGAGTCCCAGTCCTTTAAAAAAGCCCTTGAAACATCAAGAAATTGTAGGTGAAAATTTTGATGGAGGAAATCATCTGAAACCCAATTTGAAATAACAAATCTAATGATTACAATTTTCCTTTTTTTAGATATTTTCAAAACGAAAAGAATCCTTTTATGAAATTTCGTTCTAATATTTTCACATTTAAAAAGGGAGCCGTAAGAGGTTAAGATCATAAGCATTTTGAGACCCAGTTCTTTCAAGATGCCTTTGAAAAGTCTTCAAGAAAGTGTAGGTTAAAAAAAATTACGGAAGTCATCTGAAACCCAATTTCAAATACCAAAAACGATTTTTACAGTTTCACTTGTTTAAAATATTTTAAAACATATCGAATTCCGTTTTAAATAATCCGTTCTAATATTTCTACATTTACTAAAAGAATCCATAAGAGATATGGAACAAACCATGACCATTTTGAGACCTAGTCCTTTTTTCTATATATATATATATAAAGTCTTCTAAAACCCCAAATTTCTCTATGGAATATTTGGCATTTATTTCATCCTCATGTAGTTGACATAATTGAAGTAAATCAAATATCAGAACGTATCATGACTAAAGCAATGAAGAATGTCTGTTTTAAAATTAAAAGAAAAAACAACAACAAATTATCTTATCTCATTTTCCCATGGCTATAATAACTAATAAGCAATAATCGAAAAAGTGAGAGAGAGGAAAAAATACAAATGTGTGAAAAATCTAATCTAGAGGAGGCGCTATATAAGAAGAAGAAGCAACTAATAACGGTAAGGG